GACCTCCAGGTATCTAGCCAGGTATCTAGCCTGATGTCTTATATGTTAGCTACATCGGAATTCCACCGAAGCCCCAATGGCCAAAAAGTGTTGAAGGTGACTGCGGTGGCCTACGCTGTTACAGATGCTCTGTAGGGATGGATTGACTAAACATTTAATGGTGTAACCGTATTCGTTATCGTTTTCGTAATCTTGCGAAACCTTCCTAATGTGGTTTACCAAAATAAGGTTTTGATTATAGTGCTCCTATGCTGAAAGAAGAAGCTCAATAAGCAATAAGTAAGTTTATTCATCCTTGTCAATTAAGGTCGCTTGATTTGTTTCCGTTGGTGATCATTTTGTATTAAGAACACACTTAATACTAGGTTTTAACGTATTTTAGATTTACATATTTGCTCCCATTATTACTGAAACTCATCTATAACTATATTTTTTCCTATTATATTATTCGTTTATGAGAAATGTATAAAAAGACTGTATTATTATTCATTAATTAATTCATTCATTCATTTATAGAAACATTAATTTTTTTCAGTATAAAAATGCAATTATGTATGTTGGAAAAAGTACAGTAACTAATGAAAAAGTCATTTCCAAGAGGTAAAAAAAAAGAAGAAAATAAGCACAAAACCTTGTGTGCAGTAGTACACATAACAACGAACACTTTTAGAAAGAAACATCGCACACGGACAACAAAACTAATACAAGGACACTCGTAAAGCCAATAAACTGAGTTACAATAACGCATCGTCTTTCGGATGAGATATGTAAGCCGTTGGTCTTGTGTGAATTTATGGCCCATGTGAACGTTAAAAGAACGCAATACACTCTTTGGAAAAGAGTAGGGGATTGTCTCCCGGTGTACTGCCCAATCACCACCAGAAGGACCCCACCGGACGTCTTCTAGACTTTTGTGGGCTATCCTTGGCGTTTACACCGAGTAATCCAAAACAACAGGCGTATTTGACATTTTATATCTATCCAATATTTTATTATATAAATATTTATAGGCCTAAGCCTGTATAGGCCTTCGACGTTTCGTAAAAAGCTTGGGTTTCGAGTTCTGATGAGGGTTGATTTGGTTTTCTTTTTATTACATGGTCACATTCCTCTGTTACGTGTAATATTATTCATGAAATATCCGGCATGTTGTTTCTGTATTTTTTTTTTTTATCATAGTGCACATACTGCAGGCGGGAGGGGGAGCCTAGCCGACCTGGCCCCTACATTTTTTATTTTTTTATTAATAAAAATGAGAATAAATAAATTTATATTTTAGTATGGGAGTGCCATTTCCGGCCATAGAAGTTCGCACCTCATCCCCCAATTATTCTGGCGCATGAGGTGGTTCGTAAGAAGCCCTTTCCTGGGCCCTCGGTATACGCCATTGCATACTTACATAAGTACAAATAGTCGTGCAGTAATAAATCAAATACATTATTAAACAACACTAGATGACACTTTTTATGTAAATGAGTTCTTGAGGTGAATTTCACACGAGAATGGAAATCTTCAAGTGTTATTGTGAAATATATTTCACGTCAGCCTAAAATAATATTTGATTTATTTTCTGCTTTGCATTTAGATTCAAATTAACACGGATCCTCATCGACTCTTCATTTGTAGTTGTAAGAAATATTCACAGACCTACTAACACTTTTTGCTGAAATACACCAATGAACAATAAGCAAGCTATCATACGTCATCGCACGTCTTCAGGTTGCCGCGTTCCAGAGTCTATTCATTTACTATAATGCAGTTCGTTGGATGAGATACGTACGTAGATTCATGCAAGCAGGCTGAAGTAAGTTTTTGTACAATTTGTGGTAATTTTAAGTTTAGGCCTATAATACTTTTCTCAGTGTATGCATTTTTGTACTTAGTTGAATTAAAATGTAATAAAAGGAGCTCACATTTTCGTATAAGTGTCCTGAACAGGGGCGGATCCAGAAGTTTTGGTTAGGGGGGATATAGGTATATGTGTACTATTCTAT